CATTTAAGTTGTGTAATTCTTGACCTTTTCATATGTATCAGTCTTTTTACCTGATAAAAATGATACCCAAAGAACAACTCTACAGCTAAATAAAAGCCCTCCTTCTTGGCTAACTACTGGCAAAAAAAAAAAAAAATCTCAAATGTTATGTCAAAAGAGGCCTATGTATGGATATTGGCTCATTTGGAACTGATTGAGATCATCAAACAAATAGTTCAAAACTCGTATGAGTATATAAAAATTTTTTTAAGTTTTAAAAAATATGCAGTATTTCCAAAGAATATTTTTAAATTATATTAACTGCATTTTGTTCGTTTTTTGTTTTCAGTTTGCTATAGGGTATATGTGATTGCCAGAGAGAAAGTGAGAAAGCATTCTCCAGGGGGATGGCTATACCACAATCCCTTCTTCTCTATTCTCCTCTTGGGATTTTGGGCATGCATGTATATGCCAGTGTTTTTCAAGTCGCCAGGTCCAGGACTCAAACCATATAGTCAGTTGTGTGGGATCTGGCCGCCTTAACCAGGCCACTGGCAGGCCCAGAAAATTGTTTAAATATAAAAAACTAGGGAAAAAATTTTTATCACTGAGAAATAGTGTTACTGGTTTATTTTCTGTTTTAACTCAAAAAGGTACTATAAAAATTAATCTGCCTGAGGGCCCAACAGGTGGCATGGTGGTTAAGGAGCTGAACTCCCACATGGCCAGTCATAGTCTTGAGTCCCGGACCTGGTGGCTTGACATTCACCCCAAGTGTATGTGCATGTGTGTCCAAAATCTCAGGAAGAGAACAGAGAAGGAATTGGGGCATGGCCGTTCACCATGGGGCAGGGTTGATTTCTCACTCTCCCTCTCACTGTGTCTCTCTCTGGCAAGCACACATATCCTAAGGCAAATAAATAAAAAAAAAAAAAAAAAATTCAGTCCACCTGAAAATTTTGTTTGATAAAAGCATAATTTATTCAAATAGCCGTTAAGAGATATCATCTCAATTATTACAATATTGCAGCAGAATCTTACTTCAGATTCATTTTGAGACCTTTGTTATTATAGAAGAACTAGAATAAGAATAAACAAAAGTAAGGAAACTCAAGGTATTACACTAACATCAGCAAGGAGAGAAAATGGAAACATGATAGGAGGGAAAAGGCAGACTAAAGGAAAACAAAGTAGAGAAAGCTAATGTGAATTTAAAAGGAACATAAGGCACATCATAAGATTTAGTTGCATAGATTTTTTAGCTTATTCCTAAGTGCCACTAGTCCTGATCTTACATTGATTTCCTTTACAGACACAAAATACTACAAATGAAATAGTGGAAAGTGTTCCAATCATGACTAATTCTCAAAGTAACTTGCTAAATGAAATGAAGTATGTGCCCTAATTAGATGATTTACATACATAAGGCAGTAGAGCACAGTATTAAAGAAAAGGATTCTAAAACCAGAATTTCTTGGTTTAAATCCTGGCTCTACCAGTTACAGTATGTGACCCTCAGCAAATTCCTTAGTCTGTGTATTTCAGTTCCTGTGTTGCTCTAATAGGGAAATTAAGTACTATTAGGTACCCTTGTAAGGTAATTGTTAGAATTAAATGGATTAATATATTTTAGATACTTATATAGGAGTTGATATATACTAAATGCTTGCTAACTGTGTATTTGGCCTTTTCACTAACAATGAATGGGAAAATGCTCCTAAATAACTCGAAAACAATGCTCTAACAGAAAGAAAACTATGTATGATACACAGTATTACACAACCGGAATTAAGAGCTCTGCTATTATGAAGCATGAAGATGCAGATACTGAAAATGTTAGGAAAACCCATTCTTTCACTCCAGCTTACTGATGAGCAATTAAAATGACTGAATGACTACTTTATGGTTCTTCTTACCCATGACAGGTCTTTTCACATCACTGACTTTAGCAAAGATACAAAGTCCTACAGAAGACAAAACAGAAATGTTACATATTGAAACACTTCATATACTTACAAGTGACATTTGTTTCTTAGTGGAAAAAAATCTAAGGTGGTATGGAAGTTGACTCAGTGGGGAGGAATGGAAACAAAACTAGTCTGAGATACTTCTGAACAGTTCTAGAACTAGAACAGACTACCCACAGAATATCAATAGAAAGTAAGGCCCAGCAGCAGTAGCACATGCATAATGCTAGAGCTGCGTGGAAGGCCGGGGTACAGATTCTAGGTCAGTGAATAGGCCCACACATGACTGTGTTTTAGGCTGCCTGGGAGGCTGGAGGGAAGACCGCACAGTCTGGCAAGATCCAGTTGGATTCTCTCGTTCTTTCTTTCTTTTTTTTTTTTTAGAGAGACTTTAGCTATAGGGCAGGTGTGCTCGCTGGAAAGACAGAAAGATGGAAAGTGAGAAATCACCTCCCAGTGGGTTGGCCATGCCACAATCCCTTCTCCTCCATTCTCCTCTCTGGATTTTGGGCATGCATGCACACGTGCCCTGTGTGAGTTTTAAGCTGCCGGCACTGGGACACAAACCATAGTCAACTATGTGGGAATCCAGCGACGTAACCATTACACCATCTGCTGGTCCCTCTCTCTCTCTCTCTCTCTTTTTCAAAAGAAAGGTAGAGGGAGAGAGGGAGAAAAGAAAATTGGGAGAGCCAACTCCTAGGAAATTTGAGTAATTTGAATAAATCATAAAGTTAGTGACTGTACTGAAACCATAACCCAGAAATTCTTCCCAATCCATTACTGTATTCTTTATTATAAACCATTTATAAATAAGTGACGGACCTTGTGATGATCCTATTAAGACCTCTCCCAAATGTTTTATTTAGTGGCCAAATATAAAACTACTAATAACCTGATGACAATCAAGATTATTTCACAGTTGCATAAGATACTCCCCCACCTCCAACATCGAATTGCTACAAACCAAAACCCCCTTGCCTATATGAAAATTACTTTCTCCTCTAATGTATCCACTTTTCCCCCCAAAAAAGAAAGTTAAAAAGCAAACTGCTTGCAACTAGGCTAATAAACATACCCTTGGCATGTTTGCTTCTTGGCAGATTTCCAAAAGGACACAAGGGATGTAAGAGTCACACCCATATGCATTTGTAATCTTATCACCAGTTTTTAAAAGATTGAGCATTTCATCAGCTACAATGCAATAGGGCTTCAATGTATTCAGGAAACTGGATGATGACAATAGGCATTTTTTGTGGTCAGAATGACAAAGTACACACACAAAAAAGGCTGCTTGAGCTTTTCTTGGCATAGCTATAGACTGAGTAATCATCAGATTACCCAGTCTTGCCAGGAAGGCTTTCCAAAATATTTAAGCCTTATTAGATTTAGGTTTCAATATATTTCCAAATGTTCAACTTAACAAAAGCCTACTATCTGGAAATTCTCAAGATTATTCTTTTCCCTTCTTTCCTTCATAGAACAGAATTCCCTGGGTTGCAGATTGAGGAAAAAAATCATATTGATCAATAAATTAGTCTGGTGCCCAGTAGAATAATCCCATGTAAATTTCCTTTGCATTTTCCTGAGACAAATGTGAAGAGGGAAGCAAGCTAGAAATTAAAAGAATTTTAAGAGATCGTGTTGTGAGAAGCTAAATAACTTGCTTGAAATCACACACGTGGGGCAAAGGGAAGACAAAAGTCCAAGCATCCTGACTCCCAAGCAAATACACATCTCCAACATCAAATGATGCCCGTGCATGTGTGTTGGGGTTGGAGGATACGTGGAAACACCTGGAAGCTGTCTCCTTACCCTGAGTCACAGGGAGGGGTGGCATGTCCTTTAACATATCCTCATTCAAAGATTGATACACACCAGCAATAAAAAGGAATCCCAACCTAACCCTAAGAAATCCACATGATTTCTCATTTTAAATACTTAAAACCCCACATTTACATTTTACTGTCCAGCTTCTTCAGTGTGCTGCTGGTACTTTCTTTTAGGCCACTTTGCAATTATAGATTGGGAGAAGGGACATTTTATCCCAAAATTCTCCATGAAATCTGGGATCTGGAACCTTTGATGCCACCAAATTCTTGAAAGTGTAGGAATTTAAAGAAAATACTTCTAATAATTAATGCCCTAGAACATACTGATTATTCAATTTACTTAAAGAACACAAGCAGTTACAATTATTCAGGTCAGGTTAGTATCTGAATACAAAGCAATAAAAAACCTGAAAAAGAAAGGAAAATAAAAGATGGCAAAGTCCTAACATTAACAGAATGTAACAAGTGGGTTAAAACAATTTATAAGATTACAATGTACGTGAGACTACATACATACAAAGAGGGGGTTATAAAAGACAATGTTTAGGGCTATGATGAAGTTACTATTGATAAAAAAGATATATTGAGGGGGCAAAGATGTGTGTATCTAGGGATGAAGATGTGGTTAGAACAATTTAGGATATGAAAAAGGTGTGGGAGTGATCAAGCTAATCACCCTACTCTGAGCTCTGGAAGACAATTATGTGTTTGAAACAGCTTGTAATATATCATGTTTTCAGGGTTATTATTATTATCATTATTATTATTTTCACATGTAATTCCTCCCATTTAAATTCTAACACCTTAAACATTCTAATGACTTAAACACTAAGTGTTCAATTTCTTTCATACAAATACATTTACTGTGTACCAACTACCTGCGGAGTACTTGGGGATATAAAGATGAATAAGAGTCCCTGTCACAGGGAAGCTGTCTAATGGGAGAAGCCAGATCCATAAACAGATACAAGACACTAAAGCTGGTACAACTGGTAGAAGATGTGGAAGTGAAGGGAAGGACTTTCAAAGCAGTAATCCAGAGTTACATCACCTCAACCAGAAGTAGCAGAACCTGTTTTGTATTCATCCACTCCCTCCAGACTTAATTCATTAGATGGTGATGGAAGACCACCTCTGCAGTAGGGATAATTAACTGAAATCTGGTGAAAATGAAAGAGGCTTTCTTAAATGGGGGCTAGAGAAGAAAAAACAGGAACTCTCCAAATTGCAAAAAGATTTAGGGATTACACTTTAAGAGATGTTTCAGGTTTCACTGAAACCGTAATTTCAAAGTCAGTGTAATCTAAATATATTCCCACGCCAAGTCCTTTATGCAAATTACCTTCATGAAGAATGAAGATTTAGGAAACGATCTGACCTACTCCATGCAGAATATCTGATTACAACAAATACCCTAATTCAAATACTTGGTAGTCTACAAAACGCTTTATATAAATTTTATAAGAATCACCACAACCCCAAATATAATAAGCGTACCAAACGCAAAGTAAAATGACTTTAACAAGGCTGACTTTGAAGTGATAAAGAAGCAAGTTATTGCCAACAAGATAGGGGAAACACTGCAGAGACACCGATAAACAGAAATCACCAAGCTCAAGCAAGACAAGAGAAACTAGGCATATATCCAGAGAGATCACGTTAGGGTACAGCAAGAAAGAAACGGTTCAAGTGAATTACCAGGAGGCGATGAGCCAGGTAAGCGAACTGTGGCAGTTAAGGGGATTTTCATAACCTGGGCAGGAGGGTCCAGAGGTTTCTGGTGGTGGCACTAGCGATATCACATCTCCGGGAGATACCACAGAGTTAAAGAGTTGGAGAAATGTTTACGTGAGACACAGAAGTAGTAAAAAATATCATTCGGGTCGAAAGGAGCGCGAGAGGTGAGGCAGATGTGACAGAAAGCGGAGCTTCCGGAAGGAAACTGCTCTCCCTGGAGAGAAGACCCTGCTCTGGCGGGAAAGCCCGGGATCCCAACTGGCCTTTCCCGCACAAGGAGGGCAGGGCGCTAAGATGGGGCCCTCTGTAACCGGAGGGAGACGGCCTCTCCGCAGCCCAGGAGGAAAGGCCTGAAGGAACAGCTTCGGGAAACCTAACTAACGGCCACCGGCCAGACCGCGGCCGCCGGACAGCAGGGGGGAGGGGAGGTGGTCCCAGGGGGCGGGGCAGAAGAAAAAGCGCCTTCCCCACTGCCGTCCTCGCTTCCGCCCAGGCCAGACCGGGCTGGCCGGCGCGGCCCGACACAGTCTCCCGGTCCAGGCTCCCTCCATCCTCACCCCTCCCCCAGCTTCCCGCCGCCACTCACCGGACCGGAACCGGCTGCTATGCGGAAGGGGTTTCCGGCGGGTTTCCCCCCCCCCCGGCTCCCGGCCGCCACTCGCCGGACCGGAACCGGCTGCTATGCGAAGGGGTTTCCGGCCGGGCGCGGAACGCAAAACCCGGGAACCGCCGCGAACCGGAACCGTCTTCACAACACCGGAAGAGCCGTTTGGTGGCTGCGGAGGAGGGGGTGGGGCAAGAGGTCAAAGAGCGGAGTTAAGGACCTGCGCGGTGTGGCGAAGCCTGAGAAGCCAAGGGATCGTTTAAGGCTGTAGTCATAATTTCCCCAATACCCCTTCAGCCTGGGCTTTTTCTTTCTGGTACTCGGGAAACTGTCGGTGCGCTTTTCGTCCTTTGCTTTTCTCTGTTCCCTCGGCCCTTTTGCCCGCCTCCTTATGGTTCCGCAGGGCGATTTTTGCTTACGCTCTGGTTTCCATAGCAGCTTTTCACTGTGACCCTAGATTTGCAGAAACTGTGGCTTCTCAGACAGACAGGGACCTGAAATCTAAATCGATCTCAGGCTAATCATGTTTTATTGAGAATCGCAGAACGTTAGTGCTTGTAGAGGTTACTAGAAATGTTTCAGTCTATCAGCTTAAGAAAAATGAAATCGTTTTCCAAAATCTTAAAATGCATGGCCGATGTAGGACTAGGAAATAAATTCCTTAACTTGCAGTCCTATACTCTGCACTTCATCATGCTTGACTGACCATCCTAGGGGGAACATGGCAAATTGGGGACAGCTTAAATTAGACTGAGGCGACTTGTAGAACCACTCAGAACTCTGAAAGAGTTTGAAATGGGCAGAGATATGAAGAAAGCTACTGGGAGCCCACTGACAATCTTCTTTTCGGGGTGGAGATAAGAAAGGCTCCAGGAGTCTGACCTCTACATGGCCCTGATGTTGTTCCTGGAACTATATAGATTAATCAGTAATCTTTGCTATACTTTTTGAGGGAATGAATGGGAAGAAATATGTTTGTTCACTCAGACTGTTTACTAAGCCCCTCAACTTGGCAGGCCTCTGAACCAAGATCATGTCTAAAATTCTTGGAGAAATATTTTTGAGCAGATACTCCAAATCCAGATGATAGCCACAATTTGAGCTCATACTTGAAGAAGGCCATCTCTGGAGTCCCCGGCCATTTAAATACTCTTGGCAGCTGGGAAAAAGAGGGTGCTTGCTGAATACAGGAGTTCCTGCCCTGTCTAACATATAAAAGTAGATTATATGTATCACCTCATATGCTGATATTTTGTCAAGTCCTAAGACCTAGTAGTATTGAGAGTGCCTAGCTTTTGTTGGTCATTGCCATCTTAATTATTACACAGATTTGTTTATTTGGATTAAATGTTGTCTCTATTTCTAGGACACAGCCATGCATGGAAAGGAATTTCATCTAAAATTTTTCATGTGTATGGTTCAATCTCGCCAGTTAGTCAGGATTCCTCAGAGAACAGGTACCACTGTCTCCTGGTCATACTCCAGTGACAGGAAATGGGTTCTCTCACAGGGAGTCTCAATATAGGATATTAGACTTTTTAGTATAAATACAATACATTAAGATTCTACTGACCTTTTTTATTCTATGCTCCCTGTGATAAAATATGTGTCACTAACTCGTGTCTTTTTCTTGTATGAGATTTTGGCCTAGTATGTGTAAATAGTGCCCAGGAAGACAAGGAGGACTTGAGAATTGGGGAGGAGGGGACAAAGTTTGTAGCCCAGGAGCTGAGGTTATTGGTTCCCATGTGAATTATTTCAACCTGTTCAGGTATACCTGTGAAAGTCCTGTTGCCACTACCAATTGACACTCCAAAACCTATGTGATAATTCAAGCCCTAAAGAAAAATTGCCTTCTCTTCCACCCCAGCGTCAGGGTATCTAGTTACATGTTCTACTTTCCCTCCTATTTCTAACAAAGGAATAGAATCTTTTTGACGTAAGATAGTTGTTGAGAAGAGTTTTCACTTACCTAAATTTTCATTGGATTTATGAAAAGAAAGCCCTAGGTAGCTGACAGTCATAAAGAAAGTAAGGGAGTAAGGAGGGCTTCCTTGCCTGAATTCTCTGAGAGTGACTTAAAGCTATTGTGTCTCAGCTGAAGAAGCGTCAACTTCCAGGATGCTCGTTCCAAATCCACCACCAAATCCAGACATCTTGAAGAGTCTAAGTACTAAGGATGATCCAGACGCTGTGGAAGGCATACCTATTTTCAAAACTGGTGAGGCGTGTGGATAAACCAGGGGAAGGAACATGAAAAGGAGTATTGGAAAATGAAAGGTTTATGCATAGACCCAAATATGAGTTAAGACATAAGGAAGAAAGTGTGTGTGTGTGTGTGTGTGTGTGTGTGTGTGTGTAAGAGAGAGAAAGAGAGAGCTTGTAGGAGAACCTCCAGGAAATTGTACAGAGAGGGATACTTCTCATTATGAAGAATAACTTGATATAGTCAATACTAAATTAATTGACTCCCTCATAACTATAAATTACTAAGGTGTCCTACCTTATTGCCAGCATTCTTGATACACCTAAATGTAAAAAAAAAATTAAACCATAGATAAAATTAAAGAGTTATATTACAAAATGATTTAAATATCATTTTTAAAAATCATCTTAGGGACCCATTTAATATCAGATTTCTCTTACACATTTTAAATAATGTTCAGTTCATAAGCAATTTATATGAAGCTCCAGAAACCCACTTATATGTTTCTTCTCAACTTAAATACAGATACATTGGAATCAGTTCACTGTAAACATTTATTGAGTTCCCCAATATGTGCCTAGTAATAACACCAGAAATTGCAGGTTATAAAGCTTATGTATAAAACATTTCCTGTCATTGTCCCAACGGTTTACAGTTTGGAAATGCTTAAGAGATTATTTAGGTCAATTCCTTTTTTTTTTCTTTTTTTCTTAAAGGTTTTTGCCATAGGGTGTGTGCACTTACCAGAAAGAGACAGAGAGGGAGCCAGCTGCCGGACTTCGACATGGCTGACTGTGGTTCGAGGCCTGAAACTGGTGGCTTTCTTTTTCACTTTTTTCTTAAAGGTTTTTGCCATAGGGTGTGTGCACTTACCAGAAAGAGACAGAGAGGGAGCCAGCTGCCGGACTTCGACATGGCTGACTGTGGTTCGAGTCCTGAAACTGGTGGCTTGCTTTCTCACTCTCTCTGTCCCTCTCTGGTCAAATTGCAAATAAATAAAGTTAAATAAAATAATTATTTTCAAAAAATAGAGAAAGAGATAGAGAGACACTGAGAGGAAAAGTGAGAAACCTTCCCTCCCCCCAATAGGGATGGCCATACCACATCCCTTCTCCTCCATTCTCCTCCTGGGATTTTGGGAACTCACACATATACATTCAGATTGATTGTTAAGCCACTAGGTCCAGGACTTGAACCACAGTTGGCCATGTGGGAGTCTAGCACTTTAACCACTATGCTACCTGCTGGCCTTGGCCATTTCCCTTTTATATTCAGAAGGCATTCAGAACTAAAAGGGTTTTACTTGGGAAGTTAAAAATTTCATTATAGTAGTTAACTTACAGCATCTGTGAAACATATAGCTGTATTTATTCATAATTTCTTCAGCACTTACTATTTAAAGTCTCTGTCTGAGACGTTAGGAAATAAGAAATGACTGGACACTTCCTCTGTTTCCCAGGACTCATGATCAAAGAAAGTAGATAGTGTGAGACCGTGTGTAAGTTAAGAGCTAAATAACATTGCCTGGATCCCACATGGCCAACTATATGGTTCAAGTCCTGGACCCAACGGCTTGAGAAACATGCTGGGTGTGTGTGTGCCAAAAATCCCAAACAGAGAGAAAAATGGAGACAGGATTACAACACGACTATTCCCCCATGAGGGTTGCTTTCTCACTTTCCTTCTGTCTGTTTCTCTGTCTCTGTCACTCTCCAGTGGGTGTATGCACCCTCTGACAAAAAAAAAAAAAAAAAGTGGTAGTGTTGAATTTTAAAAGAAGGTGCCATAGATATATAGCAAAGGCCTGGGCCTGCTGACTACTTAGGCAGAGCATCACAGAACTCCAGCACGCAGTGGCAACGTGGTCCTGCATCAACTTGAACTGAATTGAGTCTTGTTGGTATGTCCAGAGTTAGCCACATTCACAAGAAAATTATATGAATACTAATTTATTCAGATACTGGGAGCAATATATATCTATCGGTCCATCCATCCATCTATCCATGCGTCTGTGGCAACTTTGTGTGGTCTATGTGCCTTTAATCAGACTTGCTTTGCCCATGCATAGAAAGTAGCTGGGAACAAGAAATAAACCCAGCTGTTGGCTTTGTCCTATTGGTATTGTTTTGTTTTGTTTT